TCTTCTATATATCGTACAAGCTCCTCCTCTTGTTGTAGGGTGAGCTTTTGTTGTGCAAGAACCTTCTCTTTGTGCGGACGCGTCTCACCCCTCCACGTGCGCGTCAACGTTGACCGCACAATACCATGCTTTTCTGCTATTTTAGACCATGGAATAGCATCTTCGGATACAAAAGTATCACACTCTGCAAGCGCTTCTTCTAATCCCATTGCGTTGCGTTGTTGTAGAGCTGAGATAATAGAGCTGTTTTGGTGGTTCGGCGCATCACGCGAATCCGCGCATCACGCGCACGGACACGGTAGTCCCGACCGTTCTTCGACAGCAATCTCCCAATTTTTCTGATCCAACCCCCGAAATACCACACTTCAATCAATTACACCATGTCGTCATCAAAGGAGGCGCAGGCGCTGACCCGCTCAGAGTTCTGGGATGACCGGTATGCGAAGGCTGATGGGGATAAGCCGACGCATGAGTGGTTTCGCGCTTTTGATGCGCTGGAGCCTTTTTTTGAGAAGCATCTTTTCAGCGTAAGGGGAGCTGAGGGGAAAGGCCAGAGGGTGCTGCATTTGGGGAGTGGGGATAGTGTAGGTTCTCCTTCTGCGTTCTCTTTCTGGGGTTCTAGGACTCTAGCAGGATTAACCCATCACCAGACCGTTCCATACGACCTTCTAGAGCGGGGCTACACAAACCAACTCTGCATAGACTTTTCTACAGTAGTAGTCGATTGCATGAAGTCACAACACACTGACAAGCCGCAAGTAGAATGGAAAGTTGGTGACGTGCGGGACATGACTGGAATTGATACCAAATCTGTGGATATTGCTTTCGACAAGGGTACGCTGGATGCTATGATATACGGCAGTCCGTGGAGTCCGCCTGAGGAAGTCTTAGAGAATAGTGGGAGGTATATTAATGAGGTAAGTCTGGAAGAAAAGGGACAGGTGGAGAACAAATGCTGACCGCGATGAGGTTTTGAGGGTCCTGAAAGACGACGGTGTGTTTCTTTATATCACATACCGGCAACCGCATTTTATCAAGCCGATTTTGAATCGGGCAAATGAGTGGGATCTGGGTATGGAAGTCATGGGTGATGGGGATAGTTTCGAGTACTTTGGCTTCGTTCTCAAGAAACACATCTCAGCTGCAAACTAGGAACGCGCTCGAGTAGTCTTGATCAAATTTCAAACGTTGTATCTACATGCAATCTCTTGTCCTTTGCAGATAACGTAGTTCACCGAGCGGCCCGCCTCACCAGAGTCGCGACTACTACATGACTTGTTCAGGGGAGTGGTGCTAAGGATAGCATCGTGGTCGCCTGAGGAAGCGAGCGCACTCGTGGGCATTAACTACGCCGGCTGGACGTTCCAGGAGCCTAAAACGTATGACAAGGCTTGCTCACCTACATCAGTCTTATCGATGCGACTTCATCCTTGTACAAATGAAAGAGATTTGAAAGATAGGCCAATATGCAGGCCCGGAAGACTCGATTATTTTGTGGGTGTCTCGGTAAGAGACCCCGCACACCGAAAACATTACCGGAGACAGATGACTGGAAAATTACAACGAACGCCTCAGAACTGTATGTCTCACGAACCAGTAATACGAACTGCACTTAGGCTTACATCGCAAAGCAAACTTAAGGGGCATGTGATACCTCCAGACGCTGCTGAGGCCCTGTCTCTTGCCGGAAACATTGCGTCCCGCTCATCGTCCGTCAAGCTGAGCAAAGCGGACCCGCTGAGTGCTGCATTTAATCGTGCATTCTTAAACCTCCATGAGGATCAGAGAATAGCCTTGGAAAAAACTCAAGGACTACAAGAATTGTTTGAGCAATTGAACGCTTCAAACGAGAAAAGCAAGGAGGAGTCCCCTTTCCGCCGAGGCGTTCAAAAACTTGGTCCTGTTTTGGCAGTGTTGGGCGGCAGTATAAGTCTTGCGACTCCGCTAGCTGCGTTGGATCCCATTGCCAACAATGCCTTCGGTATCATTCAATCCGTTATGACAGGAAGATGGTTTCTAGGGTACCCATGGAAGCTTCGACTAATGGATATTGTTTTAGATTGCTATAGGAATCTGTGGTGCGGAAGGAAAGTTCCACGAAGATATCCAAGCAATGCTCCAAAGAGTTCCTATAATCGAAAGATGTGATGACATCTGGGATTCAACACGATCTCCGAAGTCGCCCATATTCTCAGTAAGCCATTTTTTTCATATTCCTGTACACGACTTGTATTGATCAAGAACAAAGAGTGAGACTGACAAGAAATCCCAGGTCCTAGTACGCATTTACACAAACCTACTTGACTTCTACTTTGAAGCCATGGGCGTCTTGAAGGGTGACAGTTTCTTCATCAGTTTGCAAAAGAGTCGCTTCAAGCAAAGGCTACCGGAAATTATTTCGTCGTTCACAGACAATGCTGACCAACTCGATAAACTTCTCAACGTGGAAGCACTTGCTCTCATTCAAAAGATCGACGACGACCAGTCTAGTATCAAACGTAAGTACCTCATCCAAACACAAACACAGAAGCTGACCTAGTCCATAGTTCGGATGCTTCTGAATAGCAACAGCCAAAATAAGGAGGTCGAGTACTATAACTCCTTCCAACAGCGAGCCGACGAGGCCTGCACATGGATTGTTTCGACGGTCGACTTCCGTGAATGGCTTGAAGATCTCAACGACGGACGTTCAAACCCTTCTTCAAAGTTCTGCATTTTGTTTGGGAATATGGGATCCGGAAAAACTGTAACGACTGGCTTCGTTGTCGACTTCCTCGTTTCTCATCCAGCCCTGTCGGGGTCATTGAAGCCATTTGTCTGGGTCTACTACTGTAAGAACGATAACGAGACCAACAAAGCAAGGAACATATACCGCAGCATCCTGTCGCAGATTCTGACGCGTATGGTGCAACTGAAATCCAGATTCATGAAATGGTATAAGGAAGCGCAGACCAAGAACAGTTTGGTAGACCCTACGCTAGACGATAATGCGCTGCGCGATTTTTTGGTCAGCGTGCTTCGAGGGTTTTCTCGACGACTTTATCTTGTCTTGGATAGAGTAGGCGAATGCGACTACGACAATCGCGATCACATTCTCCAATCCTTCGAGAAGTTCGATGAGCATGGAGCTCCGGTCATTGTATTTCTTTCCTGCCGATACGACGAATCTATCAAAGATAGATTACCGTCTGGGAGAAGGATACTCCAAATGAACGCTTCACTGGACCGGGACCACATCATTGCTGCCTTTCACGTCAATCACATCCTGAACCGACAGCCAGAGGAGATCAAAGAACCCATCATAAAAGAGCTGGCGAAGAAGGCGGAGGGATCGGCAATATGGCTCAAGATGGTACTGGAGTACCTTAGACGCCCTCATCGAAGCGAGAACGAGATAAAGCGTGTCCTTCAACGCATGCCATCTCCGCAAAGCCTGTCGAGGTTATACCATAAGTTGTTCGAAGCTGCAATAGGCGGAAACAGCGACGCAGCCAAAATTGAATATGCTCTCGAAACTTTGGCTGTATCTGGACGTTTGCTCACCCTGGACGAGCTCGCGTGCGCGGTAACACTTCGAATAGAGGAAATGAACATTTCCAGTCTATCTGATCTGGAAGAATGTATGGAGGACTCTACCGGGCTACTCGAACTCATCAGTCCTTTCGTCAGCATTATGAATACTGCTGGGGGTGCAATCGTACGCATAGTGCATCAATCTCTGAAAGATCTCATCGTCGGAGAACCTCCGGCAGATTGGGGATCACATGGTAGTGTCACATCAGCGAACATGAAGCAGCGGTAATCGAGGCTTCACAGCAGCTTGTTGAAATGCTGTATCAAGTATCTGCTTTTGAGCGATCTTGAGGACAAAGATCTGTTTCCTAAGGAAAAACTGGAAGCAATGGAAGAACAAGCCTATGGTAAGTTATTGATCCACATCTAACGCCGCACTCATGACTGATAGCATCGAAAGATTTGGAGTCTCTCGGTCACTTTGATGTGTACGTTGATGAAACTCAGGCGGATGAACCACGAAGCCCGAGCTCGTCCGCTTCCGGGAAAGTACAGACGCGGGACTTTGACCCCGAATTAGCTGGATTCGTCAAGTTCTTCACCTACGCTGCATGCTATTGGACGGAACATCTCAAGCAATGTTCACCTGACGCTCTCCCTAACGTCTGTGATGTATCCAAGCTTGCACGCCATGGCTCTTTGACCCTCCGAAATTGGATGGAGACCTACAAGCGACCAAACTTGACGTCGTCTCCACAGCTTAACCTGGATGTGGAAGAATTCGATGAGATTGTTCTAGCGACTCACTTTTTGGAATGCATATTCGAAGACGACTGTATTGGGGAAGAATCGTCCGCGAAAGCGGTAAAATGGGCTATGCAGTCTGGAGATTTCACCGCAGTCAAAATTCTTCTTCAGAGTAAATCTCTGGAAAACAAGTTTCGGAGTGGCTCTCTTCTATGCGAGATCATGACTATCTGGAAGCATAGAGAGTCTAAACAGAGAACAGTCGAGGACAGGTGGAAGGAGCTTCTTGAGATCCTCGTTTGCCGTTTTTTCAATGGCGGCGCCTCTTCCTATGACTGGGCCAACACAATTCTCTGTTCTGCAGCCCGGCAAGGTTGCCTGCCTGTGATCGAAATACTATTCGAGAAAACTAAGGAGAAACCCGAACTGACCAAGGCGCTCCTGGCAGAAACTCAAAATGATAGTATGTACCAATCAATTGGTGAGGCAGCATTTTGGGGCCAGGCAGATGTCGTCCAATATTTGCTCACACAAGACTATGTCGACATCAGCCCCTATCTACACCACCGTGTCAACTCGAAGAACCGATCTGGGGGGCCTTCAGGTAGAAACGTTCTACACTGTGCTGCCAGCTCTAGGAACCCGGACATTGTCCGTAGTCTTGTTGAAAAGTTCCCTAGCGGCGTCAATGAACAGATAGAGAGCGGAGATACACCGCTACATATACTGGTGTTCACTTGTCCCACAAACGTTGAAGCGGTACGAGTTTTGATCGAAATTGGCATGGCGGATGTAAATCTCTCTCCCGGTGGAGAATGGTATTCACCCTTGCGGACTGCCATACGCGCTAAGAATGTGGAGGTGTGTCAACTGCTCGCATCACATGGAGCACATGTTGATGAAGCTATCGAATGCGATCAAATATCCGGTTACCTGATGCTGAAGGATAGCTTGGAGGATGCCGAGACTTCTCAATGCATTCTGAAAGTACTGGCCTTAGCTTCACAATCGGAGGCATGTAAAAAGTACCTTAGCATACTGAAGGACTGATGGTGGGCAGAGGGATATGGGAGCTGGGAACTACAAGCGTTATATGAAGTTTGGCAGGTGGTTGGTAGCGCCCTTATCAAGCAGTAGCTTTATTAACTGGTCGTGGCCTTTGAGTGAAGCTGCCTGGAGCGCGTTATCGAATTATCTACCTGGCGCATTGACGTTCGCGCCCTCATTACGGTAAGCAACAGCTTTACTACCTGCTACAAACGACAAGACTGCATGACATAGAACAGGACATGTTTTCACCTTCTCCGGAACCACAGGGGTAAATTGACGCGTTGCATCAGTGCAGTCGAGCCAGCGGCCAAGATGTTCCAGTATCTGCAGCGCTGCTAGAGTGTTGAATGTACCTTATTAGCAGGTCTCTAATTGCCTTTGCAATATCACGTTTTAACTAGACATACACGCTAATTACTAGAAACTTACTATACTAGAGGAGCAGACAATTGTCTAGTATATACTTAACCTTAATTTGCAAGGATTTGCGCCCTAGCTATGTAAGGTAGCAGATATAGCTAATAAGATACTTAGTGTGCATAGTAAAGAGCCTGTTAGTAAACTATAGGCTAGCAGGCTTATAATGCGTTTAGATAAGCTTAAAATAGCCTTTAATTAAGCTAAGGATAGATAGAGGATACTACAGGAAGATCCTAAGATAATTAGCGCGTAGTTTAAGCTAGTAAAGGATACTTAAGTTAAGTATAGTGTTTGTAATAATAATATGTATAACTTTAATAAAACTAGGTTCTAGATAGGTTTTACTTTGTCTTTAAAGGTTGTAACAGGCTTAGAGAGACGTGCTTAGCTAGAGCTTGTTTAGCTAGGCAATTGCGAGTGGGTTACTGTTATCTAGAGTATCTGCGCCACTAGGTATGCAACCCCACCTTTTATTATATACAAAGGACGCGTCTATATCTCTGCCTAGTATAAGGAGATAGATATACCCTATAATTAGAAGCTCTTAGTCTCTAAGAATAGTTAGATAAATAACACACTTAGCCTTAAGTAGTTAAAGCACTTTAACACGCATAAAAAGATGTATTAGGTAGGAGTATATAGGTTGCTTATCTTAGATAGCTATAAGAGCTATCTTAACTAGGAGTTTAAAGACTATTATCTAGAGAACTAAATCTTTACTCTCTATATACTACCTTACTTATTGTATATCCTCTAGCTACTTAACATAGTCTATTTCTTACTATTAAAGTGTAAGTACTCCTAATATATTTAAGACTTAGCACACTAACACATCTTCTATATTAATAAGGAAGGCTTCCTACATCAGGAAAAGTTTTTCGAAATCTGGCCCAGACTGGCCGTTGCTGACAGTCGTGGCATGGTCGTGCAACGGCTGTTCAACGGCCCCAACAGCCCTAATTTGCGCCTAACAGCCCTAATTTCGCGCCAACATTGCTAACAGCTAAAACGCTAAGTGCCTATATATAATAAACTTAAAACAATGTTACAATGTTGTTGCATAGCTACCCTTAGTTCTGCTAACGTACTCTATCACTAAGCTAGTTATATCACTAAACTAGTTAAAATCTCTTAGCGCGCCCAACTTATATTGCAGCAACTTAAATTACTTACTATTAAACAGTAATCTAGCGTACTGTGTGCTTTTATTAGATTTAGAATCTTCTTCTGTATCTTTCTAACACGTTTGAGCGTTGTGCCCTATGCCTCTACAGTTTCTACAGCGCTGTTAGGCTAACTAGGTCCTTTCTTAAGTACCTGCACTACAAGTCTTCTTTGATAGCTAAGCTGCTACAGACACCTCAGCAGCTACCTGTGATGCTGCTGGGCCATACTCAAGTGTGCTGCTATGCTGAATTTGCTTTCGCTTGCGCGACTTTCTCCTAGTTATAACTACTAATTACTCTTTAAGCTTAGTAATGCGAGCAGCTTACAGCGCGTTTTAGTATAGTATTAATTTACCACCTTTAATAAGCTAAGGAAGCTAGCCTAGGCTGTAACTAGTAACTAAGTAAAGGAGTTATGTACAAGCTTTAACTAAGACCTAAACTTATGTATATTGCTTAGAGTCCTTAACTGCCACAGTGTCTCTAGTAGAGGGGGTGCTAGTAGGGTACAGTGTTGCACCTTAAGGCAATCTAACACTACCTGCGCATTAGTAGGGACTAGCCCTAATGCCTTAAAGGCCTTCTAACAGTTAGCCTTTGTAAACATGTTAAGAAACACGTCTCTAAAGGCTAGAAGGAAGCCTTCCTTGTTAATGTAGAAGACGTGTTAGCGTGCTAAGTCCTAGACGCGTTGGGAGTACTTGCGCTTCAACAGCGAGAAATAGACCACATTAAGCGGCTAGAGGATGTGTGACAAGTGAGCTAGTATATAGAGAGTAAGGATCTTGTTATCTAGGCAATAGTCCTTAAAATCCTAGTTAAGGTGGCTCTTATGGCTGTCCAAGATAAGTAGCCTGTATCCCCCTACCTAACGCGCTCTTGTATGCGCGTTAAAATGCTTCAACTACTCAAGGCTAAGCGCATTATTTGTCTAGCTGTTCTTAGAGACAGAGAGCTTCTAATTGTGTAGTATATCTGTCTCCTTGTACTAGGCAGAGATGTGGATGCGTCTTTTGTAGATAATAAAAGGTAGGGTTGCATATCTAGTAGCGCAGATGCTCTGTATAACTGTAACCTACTCCTAATTGCCTGGCTGAACAAGCTTAGGTTGAGCGCGTCTCTTAGCGCCTGTGACAACCTTTATTAACCCTATCACGCCTATCTAGAACCTAGTCTTATTAAAGTTGTGCATGTTATTATTGTAGATGCTATACTTAGCCTTAGTACCCTCTACTAGTATAAACTATGTGTTAATTACCTTAGGATCTTCCTATAGTATCCTCTGTCTATCCTTTGCTTAGTTAAACACTATCTTAAGCTAATCTAAATATATTATAAATCTTATAGCCTAGAGTTTACTAACAGGCTCCCTACTACACACACCTAACAGTTTATTAGCTATATCTACTACCTTACACAGCTAAGGCGCAAATCCTTATAAATTAAGGTTAAGGATATATTAGACAATTGTCTACTCTTTAGTTATAGTAAGCTTCTAGTAGTTTGCGTGTACGTTGAGTTAAAATAGAGTATTGCTAGCGCGTTTAGAGAGCCTGTGTTGGTTAACGTTGAATGCAGCAGCAGCAGCCCAATGGCTCTAAAACTGTCCAGTATTGTAGGCCTAGAGAGCAAGCTGCAGTCTCCCTTTGTGTTGAAGCAATAGGTTTTAATGTTGTTAAGACATACTGTGAAGTGTAGAGTTGTGTTAGTCTTGGTAGATTTTGACTAGTTTGGTGATAAGACTGGCTTGGTGATAGAGTACGTTAGCACTAGTATTAAATATTCAAAAAATTGCGAAATTTCATGCACAGATAGAGCGAAATTGTAGCTTTAAAATAAGCAAAAAATTATTATTGTAGGCCTACTACAACGCAAGTTATAGAGCGTTAAAGGTTTGTTTATTAAAGGTTTGTGTTTGGAAGTTGCGACAGCACACCATGGCAGCTGCAGCTGCGCCAGCACACAATGTATCAGCTGCAGCTGCAACAGCACACGACGTAGCAGCTGCAACAGCACACAACAAAGCACCTGCTAACAAGCACACACTGCAGAACAGGCAGGCCTAGGTATAGAATTCTTAGTTTACCTACTATTCTTGAATAATATTCTTGTATTTTCTAATATTCAGGCTGCTAGAGCCCTAGCAAAGAATCTTAACTTAGTGTCTTAGTAAGGAATTGTCAGATAAGAGCGAGCGGCGAGAGGTCGGATCTGCGCAATCGAGCAGGGACCTGTCGTGCAGCCAATCAGCAGTTGCCAGGTCGATTAGGCGAGACCTGGCAACTCCTGATTGGCCCGCACACCGGCGGCCGCGAACAGCGCTAATTCCCCCCCACTTCAATCCTGTAGCAACCAGCACAACGCGACGGCAAAAACACCATCGCTACGATCATTAATATATCATTATACCACCTAAGATCTTGTTAAGCACATACTCTAGCTTATAGTATAAGAATCTAACAATTAAGAGTCTTACTACTACAACTAAACTACTGCAACCTTACTACTGTAACTAAAATAGCGCAACTAACATACTACAACATAATAACAGTCCTTAGGGACTAAGCTGACTAGACTAGCTAGCTTGCGTAGCTATAGGCGAGATGCCTGTTGCACAACATCTAGGACAAGATTAACCTAAAGACAACTACACTACTACTATTAAAGCTACTCTTGCTAAGGGCTCTAACTATTACTAACTATGTGCTAGCT